AAATCTGAAGACTAAATAGTGCCAGTGAAGTCATGTGTGGCAATACTCCAAGCATAATCTTTATGAATGGGAAGGAAAACCGTGGGCTTTCTTCAGCTGAAATGAGAAGACAGATGAAAAATGAGTTAAAAAAGAGCAAAGAAGCGGACAATATTGTGGTTAATGCACCCAGTGCAGCTGCACAGCAACTTCAGGTATAACTGCAGGGACGGGACAAAAGCAGTAACTCATTGAAGGTTGATATCGTCTGTCGCCTTGCATTTCAGGAAGCTGCAGAAGGAAGCAAATATTCTTCTGTAAAGTAACAGAGAGTGAAACATACAGAAAAAGTGCATGGTGACTGAATGAAGGTGACGAGAAATATCATGCCTTGCACAGATGGGCGCTTGCTCTATACAAGCTTGGTGTGCACAAACCATAATAAGAAGGGCTGTGGTGGTTTTATCCTGCTAAGAAATTCAAAATATTGCAAGAAGTGGCGCTAAGACGCATCCTATGTCATTACAGCTTAGACCTGTCAAGGCTGCATTAACAAGATTAGCATGAAAGCTTGTATCCTTCATTGGCTGAAGATAAAGCACGTACACATGCGGCCCATTCACACAAGATCCATCTGCTGTTGACTGCAAGTTGTGTAACTTAGACATAGCTGAGCTTAGATTGTGAATGGAGGGATATACGGAGATCTGAATGAATGTGAGTGAGATTAAAACAGATGTGGTATTCAGACAGAAGGCAGCCAAACTGTTGAAGCCCGCTGCTAGGAATGGTGTGATAAAACTGTAATGACACTGCATGGTTAAGTTAAAATGATCTTAACCGAGCAAGTTATCAGCAGGCTGTGAGCAGCAGGTAGACTTGTAGTCAAGACCGCCTAATCCGAGACCAAGACAAGACCAAGACCAGAGGGTATCGAGACCAAGACCAAGACCAAGTTGAGACGAGACCAAGACCGAGACCGAGTGGAGACGAGACCAAGACCAAGACCAAGACCGAGACAAAAAAAGTCTTTAAACTGCAGCCAGATGCTATTCTATATACATATTCAGGACACCTTAAACTAGTTTTTTAATTAAGCAGCAAGGCAGAATAAAGTCGGGCCTGTATCAAGGCAGGGACTAAACCCCAATTCAACCAGACCCAAAACTGATCTGGAATTAAAACAGGACTACAACAGTAACCAAGACAGAACCAGAATCAGAACTAGATGATAGTAGCACTAAAAATCATCATAGACCTGCACTACACTTATTTTTTAATTCTACCAAAGTACAATATTTAGATTGAGAAAAGTTTATATAATTATTTAGCCTCGTTGTGCAAACAAGCCTGCATAACTTAATAAATATAGAATTTGAAAAGTAACAAATGGTATCTAAAAAGAAACACTAGGTACTAGATACATGTTCTGATGAGTTTTGGCAAACAACCATTTGACTAACATGTGTGTCTCACCTGCTCTTGTTCCCTCTCTGCTCCTCTCTCTCCCTCTTTGTGCTGACAATCAAGCCAAACACCAACATCATCAAATATACAGTTGAAACCAGATATTTATGTACTCTTCAGATAAAAACACAAACACTTTTTTAATTGTAACATCAAATCACATGGACTCTACTAACCTATCAGAAGCTTCTTTAGCTCAGAATGGAATCGTCTGGAGTTTTCTTATTAATTAACAATAAACTTAGTGTATATGTACTCCTAAATTTGATGAAAGTGATTAAAATAGACAGCTCCCTCTTTTTATTCTGACATTTAACTAATTCAAAAGATATTTCAACATTTATTTATCTAAAACAAAAGTTTACTCTAAATTGATGTTTAACAGTAAAAAAAAGTTTTTATGTTTTCTCCATAAAGTGTATGTAAATATCTGGTTTCAACTGTGAATATACTGCTGTGTATTGAAATTCCTCTTGTTTTGCATAGATATACTGAACAACATCCAAAGCATAATATATAAAATAACATCTACCTGAGTTTTTTCTTTGAAAGAAGCTCCTTATGTCCATTGTTGTGTTCATCAGTACACAACTGAAACCGATTTAGAGAGTTTGTTTAGCCGTGGAGGGTAACAACTGAAAATATGAAATGTAAGCTAAGACTAAAAAATCAGCATTGCTGTTCGGCTTTTTATTTATCCATTTGTTGATTCACTCGAAGAGCAAGTAACGCAACCAAGTGATCAGTTTGATATCAATCTTTTGTGATACACCGTCATATTTACATTATTAGTTCAGTACGAATGATTTGCTTTGGTACCTGGTCAAACTTAAGCTCTCCTCTGTCTGCAGCAAATTCGCAGGCAGCAGCTTCTCCCCCCTCGCTCACATGGGTGCTGCGCTCAGTCGCCTAGTGCCTGAGCTCGGATCATACCAAAATTAGGGGGAATTTACGACGGTGCGCTCTGTGCTTCGTGTGTTGTTTTTGGGCTTAAGCCCAGTAAGCCACCCCCACTCCGCTGATGGTTGACTCCAAATCTCCCGAACACTATGTCGATTTGAGAACGCAAGACCGAAACAGCGAGACCAAGACCGAGACCAAGACAAAAGTCCGTCGAGACCAAGACGAGACCAAGACCACGTAAAAGTGGTCTCGAGACCAAGACCGGTCTCGAGACATCCAACTCTAGCAGCAGGGGTCAAAACCTTCATAAAGGGGTTAAGTTGAGATCAAGACAAGATCAGATTGGTCAAGATATAAAGACACGAACAGAGATCAGTAGGAAGTATGAAAACAATTTTGAAAATTTTGAAGGTGATACCTGCAGTGTTATATAAATGCGGTCCTCTCTTGTGGAGGGACAGCTGATTTGAAGACTAATTTATGTAGGTCAAATATGGACCTATAGCTCTAAAGTACCTGGGCCTATAACAGGGTTAAAAGAACTTACTGTAAGTTTGTTTGACTCTCTAATCAACTTCAAAATGGCATAGGTACCATTTAATGAAGATAATGAAGGGCTGGGAATGTCATACAATCACTCTGTTACTGAATGATTAAATGGACTATGTAGCTCATAACCTACAGAGGAAACATAAATGTACCACATGAATTGGTACATTTCATGTAGCTAAAATCTTTTTAGCTCTTTATGAATACATCCAGGATTCAATAGCTTGCAGAACCATCTTTAGCAGCAATGACTTAAGTAATTGTTTTCAGTCTCTATCAGTTTCTCACATAGTTGTGGTGGAATTTTGGCCCACTCTTCTTCACAGTGTTGTTTCAGTTTATCGAGGCTCGCGGTCATATTCGTTTATACGCAGCTCTCGTAAACTCTTTTGTCCAAGCTTTAGTTGTCAAACAGATGGCCTCACATTTCATTCTAGCATACATTGGAATACACAGGAGTTCACGATTGACTCCTGTGGCGGCAAAACAAGCCCGAATCTCCACCCAACCACCACCGTGCTTGACAGTTGGTATGAGGTGTTTCTCTGAATGTGCTATGTTTAGTTTTTGCCAAATGTGGTGCTGTGCATTATGGCCAAATAGCTCTACTTTGTTTTCATCTGCCCAAAGGGCAATCCTCCAGAAATCTGGTAGTTTTTTAGGATACAATTTATAAACTTAAACCATGCTGCTGTTGGCAGGCTTCCTAAACAAGCCTGTAGACCACAGGTGTCAAACTCCAGGCCTTGAGGGATTTTAGATGTGTCCTTGATCCAACACAGCTGATTTCAATGGCTAAATGACCTCCTCAACATGTCTCGAAGTTCTCCAGAAGCCTGGTAATGAACTAATCATTTGATTCAGGTGTGTTGACCCTGGGTGAGGCCTTGAGGCCTAGAGTTCGAGTTGTACATCTAAGGTTTGAACCTGCAGTGAGCTTGCTGAGATGTGCACTCACCAACACACATCAAATGTCCCAGATCAGCAAAAATATTAACACAACTGTTGTTTTTATAGAGGTGCTCACTCTTGCTGATGATCAGTTATTTAAGCAACAACAGCATGTACCTTGTTTTACGGTAGGACTGCAAACAGTTCTGTCAAGGTTTTATTTTTCATGACTGCACAAATAGATAGTAAATTATCCTTTGAACAACATGTAAATAAGTTGAGCACCAGATAAATAATTGCTGTCCATAAAAACTTGTTTGGACAAACTTGAATCTTGTGGGACGACAGGGGATCAGCAGAGAACAACTAGCCTAGCTAAGCTTGGTCACATTGCCCCCCCCCCCAAGAAAATACCATGTACCCTGTAAAAGTCTAGAATTTGCTCTTGTTTGTGCCTCTTTTGCACTTATTTACATTTCAGTCATAGAAAAAAAAAAAACAGTTTCTCTAAAAGAAAACAAACCAGCAATAAACTCTAAAGAAAAAATGTAACCCCGTTTGACTCTTTAACTCCTCCAACCTTCTAAATGCAACACCCTGTCTGCAAAACCATTAAACAAAAAGTTTGATAAACTGCACGTCTGTTTTATGATCAAAAACATAAATGACAGCCCGTCAGTTTCCTGGATAACAAACAGGTTATAAATCTGTTATGCAACAATGGACAGCTAGTGTGTGCACACACATCCAGACCAACGTGTAAGCGATTTCTGCAGCTGTCTCAACTCAGACTTTTGATTAAAGAGCACAGGAGGCTCATAAAATCAGCCAGGAAAGGTGAAGTTTTCATTCCTGTATAAACAAACACCTGTACTCACTTGGGAGGCACCCTTTTAAAATGGCTCTACTGCGGGAAAAAAGAAAAGAAAAGTTGAAACATGACTAGGCGGGTGGGAAGTTAGCCTGAATGTGATCCAGTAACAAACTCCGAATTGCCCTGGCACAAAATGTACAGTCTCCGTAATCATGTAGGCTCCAGCAGGAGCTTGTTACACTCTGTTGATTCTGGATTAAGATCAATTTAGAGTATAAGAAAAAAAAATAAAACAAATAAATCACTGTATAGCTTAATTATAAGTTACAGCTTACATAACTTTACTCCTCAGCAATAAAACCTCAAAAAACATAAACAAGACAGACAAGCTGGCAAATTTGATCAGGATTGCACAGATTTAATTGTAGATTCCAGTACCATCAATCATCAAACACACACTGTCTAAAATACAGCACAAGTATAATGCATAATCTCCATCCGATGCGATACAACCTTGAGGAACTCGTTATGGCATTAGAAAAAAAGAAAAACATTTGTAGTGTTGGTAGAAAAATACATAAAGCGACAAAGCAAAATAATTCATTTTGTAAGTAGACTTAAAAAATACAATGAAATAAAAAATAAAAGCCCTAAACTAATTTCCAGTATCAACAGCACCGATGCTTTCAATCAATATGCACGTTTTTCTTCATTGAGTAGAGATAATAATAAAAAATAACAGCTGAGAATATGTAAAAGAGTAATAAAAGGAAACATTCAAACTTCATTTCAATCTGATTGGGTCACATTTTAGTGGCATTATGCAACCAGGAATTCAGTGCTGTGTCATGATAAACAACGAGTCTGAACCTGGCATTATTGCTCGGTTTTAATGGACAGCCATCAGCCCTGTGGTTTTTGTTGTTGTTGTTTTTGTGTTTTTGATGGCAAAAAAACAAAACAAAACACATCCTCAGATTTCCTGTCAGTGACTCTTTTTACATGAACACCAGATTCATTTGTTTTTTTTTAAGTTCTGTTCAATCCTCGAATCCCAAGTCAGATTTGGTTTTCCATATTAACTGAAACATATCCATTTCACAGTAACCAGTACAATAACGTGTACTATATATGCAGCATAATGACACCTCTCTATATACATCAAACACCTTTTCGGTTTCCTGATTCATGTTACATAGCTCTCCAAAAAAAATGCTGACTCAGAAAAATTCCTAACATGTTTCAAACTAATCACATGTGAGTGTGTCAGAGCTCAATTTAAAAGGTTAAAAAAAATGAAAGCGTGGAAAATCAAATGTTCTTGGTGACCTATGAGAGGAGGAAACCTTCCAGGAATAGGAACTCTGGAGTAAAAGGCGCTTCTGTTAAAAAAAAAACCTGTTGTGTTCCTGTACAGGTGCTCTTTGAATCTATTAAGAGGAAGTCACTGACATCATTTATGGTTTCATTTTTTCCATGATCTGGCAAACATGCAAAAGGGCACATTAAATACAGGACTTCAGGTGTGTGGTGTACACACAGAACTTACTGCTGTCCAATACTACACTTCATTTGGTGGTACTGCTGTCACAGAAACTGAGGAGCAGGAGGTAAACGAGTTTGAGTCATGATCAGAGAATTTATCTGTGAGAAAATAATCTCATAAAGTCTGCATGTGAATGTTAAAAGAGACTATTATTGCTGGTTTGTATCGGGAGGGTGGTGGTGGCCGTTCAGTGGTCACAGCAATGCAAAATGTTTGGGTGCGTCATTGTCTGATGTGATAGGACGGAACAACAAACCCTGTTTGTCACTTTCCCAAAAGGCGACAGGTCTGTGTTATCAACCTGAGACACACTGGGATTAAGTTTCCTATCAGAGCAATCAGACCTCAGAGAATGTCTGCTACGCACTGCTATAAGCTGAAGAACACTGGTTTAGCTCACTCATTTAGCTGGAATCCTTTATGATGATTGGTTTCTACTTTTAAAAATTTCATAATACAAATATGACTGGAAAGGTACAACAGATGATCTGGATGCAGTAGCCTTTTACACCCACGGGCGCTATCTACACTCACAGAGTGAAATAACACGATGGTCTATCACATGCAAACTGATTCCCAAAAACCTTTCCTCTGCTGTCACACTCCAAGTGCTGGGCACAGTAAACTCAGCTCCTTTTGTGCCTCTTCATTCTGAAGGTAAAACACATGATAATGAATGAGTAACACCTTCAAACAGTTAAATATCTGGGTTTAATTTGCCTATTACAGCAGGCTATGATTAGGGATGGGTATCGAAAACCGGTTCTTGTTGAGAACCGGTTCCCACTGTTTCAATTCCTTGGAATTATTTGACATTTTCGCAAACGATTCTCTTATCGATTCCAGTCGACAACTTTTCTCCATGCCCCTGGTACACTGCTGAATAACGTCACCATGTTGCGGAGCGTCATTTACCTGGCAGGAAACACGGCGCCTTAGCGGCTCAAACGCTAAAAAGTTTGGTTATACTTTACGAGAACGGATGACAACAGGGCAACTTGCAATACTTGTAAGTAGATATTTCATTTAAGGGAGGAAACACTACGAATATGCAAAAGCATTTGCTCACAAAACACGCAATAACCTTAAATGAATGTCGTGTTTTTAATTTCGCTCCGGACTCGTGAGCAGCAGCGGTAACGTTTGCACGTCCTCTCCCGTTAATGCGGCAGGTAAATAATCAACTAACAGTGCATATTATGTTAGCGCGATCTGCCTTATTACCAAACCTGCCATTACTGTGCATTTAGGTGATCATGATGAGACAGACAGAGTCTGGTTGGCTCAGATGCTGGCAGTTCTCGCTGCAGTCCGGTAGCGTCTCCTTTCAGGCCAGGATAGACGAATGTCACCGAGCAGTGAGTTTGTGGTAAAAGGCTTGCACCCATTTGCCACAGCAGATGCCCCGATTTTCGGTAAGTGAATGTGTTTAATTGCAGGCAGAGACATTACTGGATATTCTTGTGTAATTGCTACAGAATAATTTATGTTATACTTTGTTATTGCTACAGAAGAATATTTATTTTACATTTACAATTTTTTCCCTGGGGACCCTGTGACACCCCACTGAAGAGCCGTAGGCTGGATCTCTTAAGGATCTCTTAAGATCTCACTGTTGGGTTTGTAAGGCCGTGCTACTCCTAAATTTCTATCTTGTTCAAAGAGAAGATATAAAACAAAGTTCTAAGCTAATCGACCTTAGTGTTCTCCTTTGTTTTAAAAAAGAATCGATAAAGAATCGAATCGTTAAACAGAATTGAAAATGGAATCGGAATTGTGAAAATCTTATCAATACCCATCCCTAGCTATGATGTGTTTTTGCTAGCTGGATTAGATGAGGCAAAAACAAACAGATCTGAATACAGACGGTCCTGAAGTGTACCTCTTTGGATTCAGCACTCATTGAACAAGCAGCTTGACACATCTTCTTAGCCTTTTCGCACTGACCCAAGTCTTTGTAGCACTAACAAAGAAAAGACCCAGAACTGTCAAACGACTGTTTTGTCCTATTATAAACCGTTTTACAGGATGCTATTTCACAATCCAAGTACTGATATGTCTAGTACTAACCTTAGCCAGAAACACATAGTTGAGTTTAGAATAAGCTGGATGGAGCTCCTCGACCTGGTTAAAAACACAGACAAGAAAAGTTTCACAAGACTTAGTTAGACATAGTTTTCCAACGACCGCAAAAGACGCTAACATTTGTAGCGTAGAAATAAAAAGCTAAGGTGCAAGTGCAAAAAAACAAAACAAAAGCGGTTAGAGGCAGCACCAAAAGGAATCCAATCCCCAAAGACACCACATGAGCCCATGTCCAATTTCAGAGAAGAAATAAAATACTTTTAAAACCGGTTACAACAGTTTTGACCTCTTAAGTCTTTTCCCCATTAGCTAACCAGAGCTAGTAATCAATGAGAAGTCCCAAGAACAAACGTTGACTTCGAATACCAACATGTCTACTGTGAAAGAAACAAACAACTAAACACATGCTGGAGTCATAAATAAGGCACCACAATAAAAGTCCACAAAATAAACATCCATCTTTTATATACAGTTTATAGATTAGGTCAAAAACATTCAGATCACAGTCTGGACCTACACCAGAACTATTACTAGATTTTGACAGACCAGACTTTATCTTTCTATTTTAATCTGTGCAGCTTTTTCTTTGTTTTTTTTTCTTATGGTAGGTAACGTATGTACACGTGTGATATTCAGCCAATCAAATCCTTTATTCAGCACATGAATACAGAAAATCCCACAAGACAGCCAGCTGTTGACTACATACAGACACTGATACAGATATAGTGATATACTGTTGAGCTACTTCAAAATATGTTGCATTGCATTAAAATGTATGCAATGCAACACAATGCAAGTTTGTTCAGTTGAGTTGAGGCGCTCCAACTCAGTACTTAGACAAAAGCAGACATATCAGCAAATTCCTCTGAACTGAGTGTCAAGCTAATCACACAGACAGAATCACTGTCTAAAAACGATAAAAGCCATGCTGTCACGACTTTCATTCACGTCTGTAATAACAGCTTCTGTTACTAACTGAAGCGTGTGCTTTTGGACTACACATGAATATTTTGGTTTCACAGAGCTTGCTTTCATTCTGAGAATTCGATCTTCACACAGAAGGAGTAACAAGTTTAGTCTGCAGCATTAAATATGTTAAGAACGGAGCCGCATCTCTACACTAAGCTCTAGCAAGGCTGGGGAGGTGTATAATGTTTTAGTTAAAGCTTCTCCAGGTCACTGGTGACATGTTGTAACTGTGACCACCTGAATCAAGCTTATGGTCTAGAAGACATGAAGATGAGGCATGCATAGGAATATTGGCCAAAAGCAAAAGTAATTTCCCCCACTACATAAACATTTCCAATGTAGGAACAGAGATTAAGCCTTTCTAAATACAGAGGGTTTGGGCTTTAAAAACAGGGAACAGATGCAACCTGCAGGCAAATTGCAACGTAGCACAAGATAAACAGGGGTGTGATTTACGTGTTTCATAACTGAGGTCAGAACAAGTATTCAGTTAAAAAGTACAAAAACATAAACCACTGAATAAGAAATAAGTCTCACTTCTTGGTTTGAGGACATGGACTGAATATTACATATAACCATCATGCCTACTTTATGCACTTTAGTTCAATGTGCTTAACTTTCTTGGTGAACTTTAAACCTCAGACGGCTACGCCCATCGTTTGTGCTCAGAAATGATTGCTCTTATTTGTACAGTTCATCGTGTTTCACCCCACTCTTTGACTTTGCCTTAAACACTTTATTCAGATGTGGACAGCATATTGCTTCAAGTATAATCCATTGGTTTAAAAAATAAAGAAAAAAAAAAAAGGTAGTACTTTAATATATTACTACCTCACAACTTACAGTTATTATACTAATAGAGTAGTATATATAGTGAGGACTACCGTATCCCCCTATATATAGTCTAATTATATAATTAAATATATATAAATACATATATCATGATCACTATATCAGTTATATATGATATATATATAAGTATATAGTCGTGTATAATATATTATATATCTCAATTACATCGCAGAATAGCTTAAGAAACAATACACCAGTACCTTAAGGAAATTCTTCAGTGCGTCTTCAACTGTGGCGCTTGGTGGTTCTCCAAACAGAGTTGAAGCAACTTTCCTCTCAATCCACGATAACTGAGACACCTGAAAACAAACATCACCAATCAGAAGAAAATTGGCCACCTTGGCTTAACATTAATGGATGAGAGGGGTAATGCTACAGTCAAAGGCATCAAGTCAGTGATGAATTAGTAACAAGTTGGAGGCAGTCTAATTTCAGTTTGCAGCTGAATTGGTTGAATTAATCTTTACATGTAATCTGTTTACAACATGACGATTAAATGGGATAAAATGGCAAATCTTTGCCACTATTCTAACAACTCATCTGTGTAATGTCTCTTTGCAACAGGGGACTGAACTCTTGTTGCCAGCATGTTGTATTCTAGTTATATTTCTATGTAAAAGCAGGGTTTCTGTGGGCCGCTCTTATTTTGCAGCGATTGTGTCACTATTTGTGGATGAATTTCTGAAGTTCTGTTTCATACCTATCAGGTTCCGACTATACTCTGAATGTACAGTGATGGAAAAAGTATTTTCGCCTTTGTGATTTCTTATTTTCTTCCACATTTTCACACTTAAATGTTTCAGCTCGTATATCTTTGTCTGATTCTAAAAATTTAATGTGAAAACCTTCGCAAGAAATGCAAAAAACTTCCATCCAGTTTTGACTCGTGTGACTGAGCCATAAAAAGCAGTGCATCACCGCCCCTTGTAGCTAATATGTAAAAGCCTATTTTCTGACAGTGAATGAAAATTAAAGAACTGTTGTGAATAACAAAGACAATTAAACTTTCACAAACTTTCACACATCCTCTGACTTTTGACATAAAAAACAAACAAAAATAAACCCCCCAAAGAATTAGGTGTAGGTACAAACTTCTAAAGAACACTTAGTAATGTACGTATATATGTATACATGTGAGCCAATATTTATAACTTTGACCCTATGTGGATCATAGAAATCTAGAATGAAGTCAAACTTGCGCACACAATTCTTAATTTTTAGAGTTATTAAAGACGAATGTTGTAAAATCTAGAGAAAGAACAGTTCTAAGAAATCATTAAAAGCCCAAAATGACCCTGACATTCATGCCAGTGATGATTGTATGTAAACGTATGACCACAGCTGTATTGCTGCCATCTCTTGAGCTGTTTAGGTAATGTTGATGTTCAGTATGTGACATCCAAAACACCCTGGATAATGTATAAAACAGCAGCATCTCAGACCAAAACAAATGGTCTCATTTGACTCTGATATACACAACATGTAATAGAAATGACATCTCTGAACAAATATGAAGAAATGTAACAGTTAAAACATAGATTAAAATAATCTGCACCCATTTACCAGCAGGACTGGTTACATATCATTTTTCAGAACTCTTACAGCCAACTTCCTGTTATTTTACTAGTATTTCCATGACAACGGGCACCCCCGTCCACTTCTGCTCTGCTACTGACACCTTTTGCAGAAGAATGTCACCAGCCAGCAGCAGCTTGAGCCTCACACAGTCATCAGAGCCGTATCTAACTCCAGGTGTAGAATTGCTCTGGCAACATCAGGAAATTTCAAACAGAGATGCTGGCTGAATGTGAACAGTAGGTCATTGTTTAACATGAATGCCCCGTAGACAGCCCGTAAAATACAACCCCTGAAAATATCAGGTGTTATGAGCAGCTCATAAAACAACAGGAACCGTCAAAAGCAGAACGTCTGGAAATTTCGATCTAAACAACAGCAATTCATCATGTTACGTGCGTTTCTGAAAAGACTAGACAGTTACAGAAACAATCACGTGCTGCATCCCAAATGACTGCAGCTACTGAGCGAACACGAGCCAAACAGAAACAGGATGAAATTATCTCCCTGGTACAATCTGATTTAAAGCTAACAATGGATGGTGTTAACCTCCCATAGCGCTCTCTGTGAATATCGCAGAGGGAAAAACAAACCTTGAGAAAACCTAAACAGTGGAAATGAATGAGGGGAAACAGTGGGTGGGTTAGCATAGGGAGGTGGGAGGTCACGCAGACACGCTAGCCTTCATAAATGTACATCATGTTGAGCAGAGATAGAGATGTGCTGTACTGGTCACATACAGCGTAGCACCAGCGGCCCAGAAGGTAGTAGGACAGCGGGTCCTGCGGCTTCAGCTCAATGGCTTTATCCAGATGATCCTGAGAAGAGAAGCAGACAGACAGAGAGAAGATTTTCACTGTTGATTCATAGCACAGCTGCACCGCCTTCTGTTCTGACCTGATCTGTCCTGCTTCACCAACCCACAAGTATTTCACAAACACCTCTCACACACGCGATCTAGTCGAGCTACCGCACACTCCTGGCTGTCACGCACCCTCCCTCGTTCTTTCCATTCTTCTTCTGTTTTTTTTTTTTTAATATCTTCCCTCTCCAAGGCTCTATCTCTCGCTTTCACCTGTCAAAGAGTTTTGAGGGCAAACAGTGTTTGCTAGAGGCTGCTGACAGAAGATAAAATGCTACGTGCTGCTATTCCACACTCTGATGCAACTTAATGACTGTAGGAGGGTCTTATTGGCTTAAACTGTGAAAATGACCATTCCTCTTTAGCCTAAGCACATGGAGAATGCAATGCCCAATATGCATAAATAGATGTATAATGCATTGTTTGCATTATATTATTATTTGACCATTCCAAGAATTTGCAAGGTCAAAACTAGCTCTCCGTTCACATGCCTTACCTTAAAGACGTATCCGTTCTTTATCTTGTTTTGGATGGTGTCATATTCGGCCATAATTCCACACATGATGGCATACCTGTGGGGAGACACTGCTATTAGAGGTTCAGGCCATCCTACTCTTAAACAAGCTACGTGAAGAAACACCCCAAATAACCCTAAACAAACAAATCGTACCAATCAGCAAATTAATATTTAATTTTTCAAGCCTGTATGATATCTTAAAGGGTTCAAGGAACTGAAGTTGCAGGAACCGTATTGGCAATTCTTCTAACCCTTCTGCTTATTTATTATTTGGCACCAAATTTGTTGTGTGCAATAAAAACCTTTGAGTTCTGGAAACATGAAAGTTCATGAAGTGCTTCCAGGTCATCCAACACTCAGACCCAAAAACTTGAGGTGGTGCTGAAATAAGTTTCACAATTACATTCTACCCTTATAAATATATAAATGGAATGAAAACAGCCACATCCTAGGATCCAAACTGCATATTTTTATTAATTATATTCTGTATGTCTTTTTATTGCGTAAACCATCCATGCAACTGGGACATTTGTCACACCACTGTGCTATAACACTGCAACTTGAGCCTTGGCTCTCTGTGCTTGGTGCTTCTTCAGGCATAGTACAAGTTTCTAAACAACAGAGGGGCCATGACTAAATTCAGGTGTAAAATGTAGTTATTGTTGTAAAGGTTGTGTGGTTTATTTGCAGCAAAACTCAGTTTCTATCTATATTTTTTTACCAGATTGAAAGGAAACTAGCCTTAAAAGGAAAACCTAATCTCTAACATCTTTAGCTTTTCAAACAATTTGGATTTTAAGCAAAACAACGGCAGCATCAGGCATTCTCGGTTCCCCGGTTCTGACAAAACAGAAGTTAAGCAATGATATTTTGCAGGGGGCGGTGAGAAGCACAGAGATGGTCAGCAGCACCTCACAGTCACACCACCTTTTCTTTGGGTCACTAACAACCAAAGGGCCTCCAAAAAACCCACCATACTCAGTGGTCTGTGGAAAGACTCCTCATTAGACAGCACCAGCAAAGATAAGCTGCTCCACCTTATTCCCCCGCTCTCTAATTAATACACTGGCCTTGGACCAGTGGGCAGGTGGAAGTGAAACAAAGGGTGATTTCAGCTCTGGGATCTGTAAGTCAGCATGACGCCGAGGGTTCGGAGAGGAGAGGAGTGAGCTGATCAAAGCCTTTTCACTGCACGGCTGCTTTAATCCTGCTGGTACTCTGTCAAACACCACCGAGCAACATAAACACCTTGTTATATGAAGGATCAGTGTGTGCAAAGGTCATCTGACAGCGTCGCCTGACACGGTGGCAGTGATGGGAGATGGAATCTACAACTGTACGTGTGTACTACAGTGTCTGGTATGTGTGAGTAGATTTTTTTAGCACAGTATAATGAAATGATGGGGGCTATGAAGTAAACTGCAGAGTATACTACACGATTAGCAGGTAATTACTAAATTAAGATCATGACGGCAGAAAGATTAGTCTTATGAGCAAAGGAGGAGATTTCATTCAGCTGAGAATGTTCCAACTATTATCTGATCGGTATCTGATGAAAATAAATTCACAATCATTTTGGTTATGGTTGGATGAAACATCATAAAACATGAATCTTCACACGAACTACTCACACTTACTGGAAAATTGTCAGAGATGAGACACGCGTTAATCACATCACTTTTAAATGCTTTAAATTGGCCAAACACGGGCAGATGTAACTTTAAACAAAAAAGACGTGTTTATTTTTCTTAAGTGGAGCAGGGTGTGCCCATGCGCCCACTGGTTGGCGCTTGATGAGTGGAGCGCTCTACAACATCAGAGGAGCAGAGATGCTATCTGTCTGCAGTTGTGCTGCCTGGCTTCCAATGAAAACACACAGCTGGATGTAAATGCTTTGAGCAAATCTTTGACTGGCAACTAAATATCTGCAGATAGGAAACCAAGCCACGACACAGTTGGTTTGCACGTGACCGTTTCACTTAAAAAAAAAAAAAAAAAGTAAATTAGTAGTTAAAAGCTGCTCACAGTATTTAATGGTTCACTGTTAGCAAAGAGTTAAAGCAAAAGTTTTTCGTTGGACATTGGCTGCTTTTATAGTCACTTCCAGTCCGCTCTTTATAACTGACCATTTTTTT